CTGTACTTTATGAGCGGATAAGGGTTAGAATGAAAATTTATGTTTTTACCATAATATTAAAAAATATAATATATAGTAGGGAATAATTATTTTATGGAATAATATTATATTTACCACCAATTAAATTTATTACCTTTATAATTAAATTAATATTTGTTAGATCAATTTTATTTTAGATCTAATTGTCTAATTGCTGACAATCAATTTTTATAATTTTAAATTCTTTACTCTTCATCCTCTCTTTTCTTCTCTACTCTCTCTAGGTTTACAAATTCCCTTTTGCGTAAAAAAATAAAAAAAATAAAACACTGCTATGAAATGCTACGAAATCACAAACCCTTTTAAATGGAAAGGCTATGATCAAATTATCATTGAATTAAAAAATAAAAAAAAATACGTTTTGAATCAATAATTTTTTAAATTTAAAATAAAAAAGTGGGTTCTGGGTTTGAATCAGTTAGGTTTGAATCAATAACTGATTCAAACCTGGATCTATGCGTCACGACAATTTTTTTGTTATTTTTGAAAATATGCTTGAAATTTTAGTTTTGCAGGTTTTTTTTTTAAAAAAAAAAAAACTAATAGTGCAATTGTTTGAAAACGGGTTGAGAAAAAGTTAAATTTCATAAAAAAATTGAAATATACATGTTATGATAATTTTATTACATTCCATTTATACCATTCAATTTCACCAATCATTATATATACAAATATAGTCTTCGAGCGGAACCACCTGGAAATTTATGCATCTTTCTGAATATCAAAATAGTAATTTTCTCATCAATGAATTAATTGGATTTCAATGTGGAACATTCGTGTGGCCAAGATATTTAAGGAGATTAAATTTTTGTTCTTCTTGAGAACCAAAAATAGTGTCATGCCAAGTGGTTCAACGATAGTTAGTGTATTTACCTTTGCTGAAAACATCTGTCGGTCTTATAGTATGTTCAATTTTACTTAAATTACAAGAAAAAAACTGTTTTTAAGAAAATTCTCTTACAAAGATTTAATTATAAAATATTATAATTGTAAAATAAAACATACATGTAAAATAAGAAAACATGCACATAAATTAAGGAAAAGGAAATTATCCGTTGTTTTGTGGTAGGACCGTTACAAATTATTCCAACCGCATAATGCATCAATTCATTTTATTATAAGAAATTGTTACAAATAAGCCTCTTTAGGACTTGAAATATAAAAATTATAAAAAAATCAATTCAACCCAAAAATTTAACTTATTATGATTCTAAACTTCTATAACATATTGAAAATGTTGAATTAGCAAAAATTTATATTTAATATATCATCATCCATATTCAGACTAATTGTAAATAGTCAGCAAAGTTCACCATAATAAAAAAAACCCACAAATGCAATTAAATTCTAGAGTAAATATCCTTTTTCATCCCTGACAAATTCCACGAAGTCCTTTTTGGTCCATAGCAATTAAAAAGGGACATCGTGGTCCTTGAAATTGTGAAAAACAAGCCACTTACTCCTTCTGTTAATGATGTGTACCGTTAAGTTGCTGAGACACAGTGAAAAAAGCTACCTGGACAAAAAACGACATCGTTTGATACCTTTTGATTTTTTTTTAGTTCTTCTTCTTCAACTTCATTTTGATGAAGCGTACAGATCAAACTCCTTTCTGAGAGCTGCATGTTGAGGGAACTCACTCCACCACCCACCGGAGTCTTCAACCCCCCTTTCACGCACACCTTTTTCTACGAGGTAATCTATTCATAACTGCGCAATGTCTCTCCCTCTTTATATGTCATCATCATTGTTCAAACTTATCATGTGGGTCACAATTTTTGTTTTCTCTATAGATGATGGGTATGAAATTCCTAGTATGGTTACGGATTTGACTGGTAGAAATACAGTCCCACAAGAATAGGTGGCTGTTGGACCACAAAAAATTCTCAGAAAAAAAAATCATATCAAATTTGTTGTAGAACACAGATGTGATAGCCACCACAAGCAACTTCTTCTGAGTGTGGAAGTTCACTAATCAAGGATGGTTTTGTTGCATTGCTCATCCCTTTCAAGAGCTGAATACTTTTATTGAAGAAAATATTAGTCATTACAAATTACAATTAGTAGACAATGGAGTTAAAAAAAAAAAACTAATCGCTACCAATTGAACATACCAATTTGTCAATCCCTCTTTCGCCAAAAATGAAAACAGAACCATTTTCTGCAACGTTTGCAAAAGGAAGAGTAAAAACCAAGGGTTAATTCCCGAAGAAGAGTACAATCAAGGATTGGAACGAGAAAGTAGAAAAAGATAAAAGAAAAAAATAAATTCAGGTACCATCAGTACAAGCTGAATTTAGCAACCCAGCAGCTACGTATTGAACCTAAACATATTTCAAGAATGTAGCCAAAACAACAGGGATGATAGTTAAATCATAAATGTTTGAAGCCAATATATCTAAAATTAGAAACACGAAGGCATTAAATTCAGCTTCACACCTTGATTCCCTCAAGATCTTCTATCAGCCTTGGGGTATACTCACTGCATGATTTTTAAAGTACATCAATATAGATAAACATATATTGAATATTATGTTAAGTTGCATGGAATCCTAGTCAAAGCAGCTTATTTGGATACTGAGACTTTCTCTGGTATATTAAATATAGACAACATGCTTGCTTAGTTGGGGTATCTCTCCGCGTAGGACTCTTTCATATGCATCTCTCCACTTTCACTGCTCAACTTCTACTTTAAAGGCTATCCTAGGTGAAGTTCTATCTTCTCTCTCAACTTGATACCCTCAAATTGCTTTGCTGACATAGTAATGAAAAGCAAGCAAACAAGCAAGCCAATGGAAGGCGGGTGTTTGACAAGTTTTGTTCTTGTGAATGGAAACTTTGCAAAACATAATGGGTTCAGTTCAGTTTAGTAGATTCTTCTTTTTGTAATTCTTTCTGACGAGTGTTGGTTGCATTTCCATTATAGAAAAAAGGAGTGAAGATTGGAGATGCTGCCATTATTAGATAAATTTCTTCCCTTTTATGCTAATCAGTGTTAAGGATTGTGACATATGGGATGGAAGTTGGGGTATCTTCCATCCGTGTTCCCTTTAGTTACCTCTTTTTTGCCCAGGACTTTAGTTGGATTGAATGTTTTGAAGTTGGCAGAGTCTAACATTTGTTTCTTGTTTCCAAATATTTTGGTTTGTTGTTAAATTCATCAGTTTACATGTATTCACGGAAAGGTTATGCTTGAGTGTGTGAGTCACATGTTTTGAAAGTTTTGAAATGTGGCAGAGGCATGTATTTGTTTGTTGTTTCCACAAATTTTTAACTGTGGCTAAGTTTGTTCATTTATGTGTAGTTAGGAGGAAAAAGGGTATTTTCTTTACTATTATTCTACCTACATTTCTTCAACTTGTAATTGTTATAACTTAATGGCTCATGCCAACTTCAGAAGAATTTTATTGTGAGTCAAAAGTGAGGATGAAGGAAAGGCACAGAGAACTATATTGAAAGAAACATGTAGAATGGTTATATTCTTTGTTTATAATTTCTTTGCAATTGTTGTACTCTTCTCCAGATAATCTCTTACAATGTGCATTTTCTCATCGGTAATATACCCAGCAATGGCGGCGGAGTTTTGTAGAGGGTGGTGGTGAACTGTAATGAACAAGGATGGTGGTGGTGGATCCATATCAGAGAGAACTTGCATTGGAGAGTGGAGAAGAAGAACGAAAAAAAAGTCAAAAGGTATCAAACGACGTCGTTTTTGGTTCAGGTGACTTTTTCCATGATGACTCAACAACTTAACGGTACACATGAGTAACGTTAGTAACGATGTTAGAGTCCCATTAACAGAAAGACTAACGTGACTTGTTTTTTACAATTTTAAGGACCACGATGTCCCTTTTTAATTGTTGGGAACCAAAATGGGCTTCGTGAAATTTGTCAGGGATGAAAAAAGGTATTTACTCAAAGATTTAACTGAAAAAGCATGTTGCGTTAATGCGTTTCTTGCTATTGGTGTTTAAATTGTACTGACACGTTGCTGCACCTCAAAACACCCTAACGTACAACTTTTTACTGCTACGTTGAACTTGAAAGACAATTGTACCCTCGTTGCTCTTTAAGGGCATGTTTGGTGCACCAGATAGGATAAGGCCTGATTGTATAAGACCTGATTAAATTTTAATACTATCCAATGTTTGGCATAACATTGTATAAGATAATGTATTGTATAAAATAATATTATCCAGTGTTTGGTAATACACTGTATAATACTATATAGGATAATTTTCTTTTTTGACAAAAATACCCTTTAATACAAAATTTATATAACTCTTTTAAATATGTCCAAAAAATAAAATATTTTTTAAAAAAGTAAAAATCTTCAATCTTTTTTTGAAAAAAATCATAACTAATACATTTTGTAAATTTCTTCAACCAACTTCTTAATAAAAGGAATATAATATTGGTTCTTATTTGGAAGTTCTAAATGTATGTCATTTACTACAACAAATGGAGTGAGTTTTTTGTTATATATAATCCATTCCTGCAGAAGAGGAAATATGTATATATTAGAATAAGTTTAGCTCTTGTAGGATCTTATTTGCGTTTTTTGTTTTTTTATGTTTGATTAAGTTCTAGTGGATTTTAAGTACTGCATCATCTTTTTTTTTGGTTACAGCTGCATCATCTTTCCTTTTCAAAGGTTCTATGACACCAAATGCACAGAACAGACAATCATGGAATAATATTATACATGTAATCCATTTGGATGTCTACTACGAAGTGACATGGTTTTCTTCATGTTAGGTTTCTGTACTATAATTATTTGTCCTGATGAGGCAACTTTGGCTGTGATTTAGAAAAATCATTATAAGCCTTCAAACAATGTCACAGGAAATATTACTAGCTATAAGACTATGTACCCACATGCCAATCTCACTCAATCCATATACTGTTAGCAGAACCAGTACCCTAACCAACAAAATGGCAAGAGAAATACAATTACCAGCCTTATTGCGTTCTCTTGATGTGAGGTCTTCCAATTTCATCAATTCATCCGCAATACCCCTTTAATCATCATAAAAGTCTTTCACAACCTTCACACCTTCAGCCATTACCTTAACACTTTCAGCCATAGCACCCATCCTATCAGCAGATTTTCCAACAACTTCTACAAGCTCCTTCACACCTTCACCCATCATAGTAGCTAGTGCATCTTCTCCTCTTGATCTCTTTCTTACTCGTCGACCTTCAGAGTTAGTATCTTTTGCCTTGTTCTTATTTTGATTCACAAACATTGATTGAGTGACATCTTGGATATCATCATCACTAAATAAATTAGCTTCTCCCTCTAGAAGAACCGCAATACCATTGTTTCCATGAGTTTCTTCTTCTTCGTCCAAGTCCTCAAGTACATCAGCAGGAGCTTCAACATTTTTTCCAGTAGCACGATCCTTTCCAAAGATGATCATCAATCGATTAAAGTGAGGAAACACCTTGGTCCTATAGTTCTTCAAGGTTGTGTCTTTCTTTACATATAAAACAAATATAATAGGCACATTATAGTTAATTAAAGTATAAAAAAAATAAAGAACATGTTCTACAATTGATTAAAAAAATTAGAGAACCTTAGCTTGGATGTAAGCATTCCACATCATCACTATCAACTAGAATCTTCTTGTTAACATCATCCCATCCAAAACCACTTGTGTTCAATATGTCATATATGTTACTATACTCCAATTTTAGCCTCATCATGATCGACTCAATATGCGGCTTCACCTTTATGCCTGCTTCTGGAAACTTGGCCTCCAACTTTTGTTCTAACCATTTAAAAGTACCATTTTTGAATTGCTCTGCATCTGCCTTTTTGTTCAAGGCAACTGCTTCCTCTAAGAAATCTAACAGTTTATTAAACTCTTCGTCACTCCAAGCCCTACGTTCTCCTTTAACTTTGTTGACTTGTTGAGTACTTTCAGATGCCATACCTATCAAATATATTAACATATAATACAATTTTACAAATAAATAAAACTCAATAATACAGAAACCAATTTATCAGAGAGACTATAGGCATAAACAACATCCTTGACTAGTCTATGCCAATCATATAATAACTTTATATAACGAATTAACTCAGATATCAAAGTATCTAGCTACCACCATAGCGAATCACATTTTTAAGTATCTAGCTACCACCATAGCGAATCACACAATAAACTTTTAGAATTAAAATCAAGATTCTTAAAAATCATTCTGCCCATTTAGAATGACAAAAAACTACTCTATGAACAATCTATTAATTTGATATATGTTGGGCACTCACTTGGGCCACAAATTTATATCGAGCTCTGATAATCATGATTTTGAAGGATTGTTTTCAATTTTGATAGTTAGCTCCGAAGAAGGCTGTGGTACTGATGTCGATGCCATGAATATGTAAGAAGTTGAACATAGGAAAATGAAAGAAGAAAATAAAGGAAAGAAAAGTCTATAACTAAAACTGGTTAAAGTAGTGGTTAGCCTGCTGCTCAGATTCATTTAAAAAAAAGGTTCTCTTTTTTTTGGTAGTAAAAAAAAAAAGATTCTCTGTTGAGAGGTAGAGAAATGTAATATTTATACATCAGAAATATTATATAATGAAAGAATGATCTTTTGGTCAGGCTGTTATAAATATAGGAAGAGCTAATTTTCTTAGAGTTGGGTTGAAAGAGTACCCAGAACTCATTGTTATTAGATGATGTTTTGATGTTTATATTGTTGATTCCAGTTTGTTTACTGTGCGTTTTTATTGCTGAGTTTTTTATGTGATGATCACACATAGGCAGCTCTTAGTGGTGTGAGATTATTGAGAACTAATTCACACTAGACCCCACTGTGAGCACATGGAAAGTTGAGAGAAGATCTCTCTCAATGAGTATGGCTCCAGGGATGAAGTTACCCCCATGTAACTTGTGAAAATGGTATTTCAAGGTCCTAAAACAACAGTGACATAGGGATATGCCAACTGTTGTTAGTGGAAGAAAACTGTTGTTGGGAAACAACAATTACTTTAGTATTTTCGTTAAGCTGGAAGCAATTTTTGTTTTCTGTTAAAGCATCCTAATGACAAATGAGGGAAGGAGAAATTGACACCCAACTTACTTCCAAACTCTGTTTTAAAACCAATTTTTGTCACTTGTTATTTTTGTTCAAATCTGAAATTATTTTTCTGTTTTAAAACTTAAAAGAAAATCATTAAAAAGTTATTTTACAAGTCTTTTAGTTAAGTTATTTTTCTAGGCAGTAAGTAAAGATCTTTTCATCAACTAAAATCACTCTTTTAAAAAGAGAAAATCTCCACAAAAACATTTTCAGCGTACTAGTTTAGCATAGTAGTAGCATTTAATTTGATTTGATTTTATTTTTAATTCTGTTTAGCAATTACCAATTTATTCCAAGTTAGAACACAAAGATCCTTGTGGGAACGATAACTGGGACTCACAAAAAACCCTATATTACTTGTTGTCGCGTATACTTGCGCGCATACTTGCATAACTGTTAGTAAGGCAACAATGAGCATTGGATTAATTTAATACATTATTTTCCTATCAGGTCTAATCTCACCTCCCTATACCTGATTAGATTATATATCATTTTGATGTATTAAGAGACCGTATAAGCTTATACTATACAATGATCATGCCAAACAACTGAAAATTCATTAATGTATAGTATAAGCGTATACTATCAGACCTTATTCATCACACCAAACAGGCCCTAAAATGCTTAACCTTCCCATGGCTCTGATTTTTATGATCAATACTTGATTATTCTGTACCGTTTGATGTCGAAGCTTTTTATGTTTGTAATTATTGTTTCTTCTGGCTTTCAATTTATTTATATTATAGATCGGCGATCACCTTCATCTTGTTCTTGGACTTGCTTGCACATGCTGTCTCAAATTTTTGTGATGCATTAAATGCTTGTGTTTTAATCTTTACGATACGAGTGTTTCTTCTGATTCTTCTTCTCGGTCCTTTTCTCAATCTGTTTTAATTTCTTATTTTATTTTCCTTGTATGAAGTACTTAAAACAAAATTTTAAGAAATGCATATAATAGCTATGCAATATGAAATAAACAGCAGAAAGGGGGAAATGGAGTTGAAGTGTAATACTTGGTCGAAAAAGATAGATCTTGGACTGAAAAAAAGGGGACTTACGGACACAGATTGTTATTTAATATTTGAAAAAAAAAATTGCATTAATATTTTTATTAATTCACTTTTATATAAAAAATAGAATATTCACGTTTAAGAAAAAGATATTATTAACACTTTAAAACTTGTGACCAACCGCACCCAATTTTAATATGAATCCCACTTGTCGGCCTTAATTGTGAGGCAACAAAGTCACCGGTGCTAATCTGAGACACGGACACGTAATTTTGGGAAAAAAATGTGTGTCCGATGCGGACACGTTCGGACACGTTAAGACACGCGTTCGACACGCAGTAGACTTTTTGGGACACGTTGATTAGTGGAACATGCGAATTTGACCGTATCGGACACGTGGTCAACGTATGTGGACACGTTTTACATTTTTTTTTTGTAAAAAATAAAATAAAATTACAATTAAAAAAAAAATATATTTAATAAAATTTAAAAATTCTGGAACTGAAACCCTATCATTTATTCCTTTCTCACAAGAGGAACGTATGGTTTCTGTTCGCCATTTTCGCCTTTTCCACTGATAACTTGGTTCGCCCAAAAGGTCGTTCATGTCTTTTCCTTTGAAGATTACCTTCGCTATTGTTTTAATTGTTGGTTTGTTGAGTTTTGATTTGTGATGATGCTGCAGGTGGAGGTTGATTTCTTCTTGAGTCTCTTTGAAAGAACAATAAACTCTGAAATTGAAGCTTTTAAGAGGTACCCCAAGAAACTGAGACTGGTACCCTGAAATCTTCTCTTTTTATTTTGAATATTATGGTTCCTCTTGTGAGAGTAGGTAATATTATAATGGGGATATTCTGTTTTGGAACTGATTTTTTTTATTAAACGACATAATTATTGCTTGGGTTTTTTTTTTTTGAACGACATAACTCTCTTTGTTGTTACTTAGTTTGTGGTAACAGTGGGGGTGGACTGTGTTGAGATATATAGTCCCACGTTGATTGGATGAGCAACTAATATGGCCTTTATAAGGCCTTGGGCGGCACTCCCACCCTTTGAGCTAGCTTTTGGGATGGTGTATCCCAAGGTTCTTTACATAGTACCAGAGCTTGAGTGACTATAAGGTCACAAGTTCGATCCTCACTGCCCCCCACTTTCAAGTGGAATTAAAATAAAAAGCACAAAAATGTAAACAAAAAATTGGGTCTGTGCAATTCCACGCTTCTAGCCCAAAAGGCTCTTGCGTGAGGGGCGTGTTGAGATATATAGTCCCACATTGATTGGATGGGAAACTAATATGGCCTTTATAAGGCCTTGGGCGCTCCCACCCTTTGAGCTAGCTTTTGGGGTGGTGTATCCCAAGGTTCTTTACAGACTGAATTAATGCTTGGGTATTTTTTATTTTTTTTTATCCTAAAGCTTTCAGCTAGTAACTCTTGTGGTGCATCTGGGAAACATTTAGGCAGAGGACTTTATTCTTTATTCTTTGTAAGTTATTCATAAGGCTACCCAAGCAATTTTTGCCCTGTTCGTGGATATTTATAGTATCTATTCAACATATGCAGCTTTAAGTTAGGAATTTCACTTAATGTGGGTTTGAGGTTACATGCATTGTCTACAATCTACATAATGTTTTTTTTTAATATTTATGTTATGAAATTTGAATATTTGATTAGTATGAGTTATTATGAGTTGCTATGTGTATTAAATGTAAATTATATTATATATATTAAAATTTTTATTTAATATCAAAACGTGTCCCAACGCGTTCAAATATGACATTTTTTAGAATTAACGTGTCGGCGTGTCGTGTCGTGTCCCGTGTCTGTATCCGTGTCCGTGCATCATAGGTGCTAATAACAACTAGAAAGTTATGTGCTTTATTTTAATATTAAATTCAGCAGATACAAGAGAACGACTGATTTAGGTATTTAAATCCCTATAACCTATAAGTGTGCATTTGAAAAATTGGAGTGACTTAGTGTGAGATCATCGATATCAGACAATGCCTTTAATTTATTGTCTCCAGGTCGAGCCATTTGTTAGAAATTGAAGTATACATGCAGATTCAGAGATGTGCAAGACCGCAAGTATTATTATCTATTGCGAGATTTCAGAATAAGATAAACAAGAGGACTTTGACTTGAATACTTTTTTTAGTTATTGAAACTCTAATATGTCGGTCAACAATTCTTGTTACCCTGCATTGTTTATATAGTTTTTAAGCACGTCCTTAACTACAAGATATAAGGAGTAACTATCTACCGGATTTGGTTTATATATAAACAAGCATGTGATGTATGTATGCAGATACTGGTTTCCAACTACATATGCTAATTAATTTTTTAAGTAATATTTTTATGGACCCTTTCGTCTCTGCAGAAATGACTAATTTTTTACTCGAATAGAGATTTATATTAATTGAAGTACATGAAATTTGTAATCCTAATGTAAATCCTAACTGAAGTTAAAGGTTCATCAATCTGCCTTAATTTTCTTTATCCTAAACTTTTAGCCATTAAAAGGAAAAAAATTGATGTAAGTTAATCATATTGAAATAAATCATAAAAGTTTAATATTCATTTAACTATAGGATTTGATGTAATCAAGAAATAAGAAAAAAAAAAAATTCTAAAAATCTAATAAATGTAAGTTGTTCGGAGCCTGACATTTATTTTGGGAAGCATTTCCATGTCCAGCCGAGAGAATCAGTATAAGGTGAAAAAACTAAAAGAAGCACGAAGCAAAAAGGTACCTCCATCAATGACTTAATGAGTTTATGGATTTTCTTATTTTTAATTTTTCTTCTTCTTATAAAATTCTTTTATGTCAAATAGATTTTATCAAATATTTCTTTTTATAATAAAAAAAGCTAAAAGTTCTGATCAGCTTTTATTGAGCTGTATATGTTTCTTTTAAACAAAAAGCCATAAAGATATATTACGAAAAAAAAAGCGCCATAAAGATAGAGATAAAGACTTTTATTGAAATATGTGCTTTTTAACTAATTTTTAAGTTACAAATTTTATACAATAACTAAATAACTTTTAATTTTTTTAAGTTTTTTTTTTTAATTTTAACATAAAAGTAAGTTGTAATTTTAAAAAGAGATTGGATTATTTCTAATTAACGTGGGACTTGAATCACTGAAACTTGAATTTTCAACACTCTTCTCTCTATGTAGTAATGTTGAACAACTTTTCATTTTTAGCCGATTGATGAACCATACACCAGTTGACTTGGAAAATGTCTATGGAAGTCTTGGCGAAAAGGGTGTGGTGTGGAAGATTAAAAAAAGACAGATTCAGCAAGACAAAATTTTCATAACTAAGAGTGCACAGAGTCACAGTAGACACTTTACGTAGCGGAATTTAATATCTTCAGCAGAAAGAAGAACAAAAAAGCGGAGACAGTATCTCCAAAAAAAGGCGGAGACAAAATCAGTGAAAAAAACATATAAAGGTCATTCTTATCGAGTAATTAGAATTATTAGGAGCAAGCAGAAGATGAGTGCAGGGGAACGCTGGATATCAAATCTTTCTATCCTTCTGCTGAGAATCTGAGACAGTTGCAATCACTGTTGACTTCAAAGTAAACTTCAAACTTTAGACATACGTGTCTACTGTGATAAGAGGTGGTTTTTAAGCCAAAGACCACTCAATCAAAGTACCTGTCCGAAGAATAACACAAACTCTATTGATATTTCAGCATTCCCAACTTACTTTATTTGAACCTACGATCAAACATTTTTAAAATTCTCAATAAGTAACGCTAAAAGGCAGCAGAATAATTTTAGTAGTTGTGTAACAAGTACATTACTGCTAACTTCAGGGAAGTTACTGATCAATTCAGTAAGTCAAATCCAAAAAACCAGAAAGTACATCTTAGTATTATCACAAACTAGAATGTCTCACATGACAAATGGACTGGGGACGTTGAAGGAGACCACAAAAAAGGTTTGGGTGGTATTTGCAGCAGCTCAACGCTACCTTCTAGCATTTCCACCACTTTACTCATGGCTGGTCGAGTTGAAGGGTCTGTCTGTATGCACCATAAGCCCACTATTGTCATCTTCCTCACCTTTTCGTCATCACTTTCATTTCTTATATTCCGAAGACCAAGCTCCTGATTTGATTCAAGACGATTGTAAATCCAACGAGGAAAATATATTTCACTGGAACGGTCAACTTGAGCATTAATATTTTTTCTCATCCCGACCATATCTAAGACCATCATTCCATAACTGTAAACATCTGACTTATGTGATACTGCACCAAAATTCCTAGAAAATACCTCTGGCGCAATATACCCTGCAGTTCCTCTTGCACCAAATATGGATACTGCACTTTCTTTTCTTGTGCAAATTTTTGCAAGTCCAAAATCTGAAATCTTGGGGCTGAAATTCTCATCTAAGAGAATGTTATGAGGTTTTATGTCAAAATGCAAAATTCTAGTATTGCAGCCTATTCTAGCCCTCGAGCGACACCAATTGCAATTTGGTACAATGTTTTGCAATCCAATTGACGATCTGCAATCTGGTCATTTTCTTCAAAGATAAACTTCTCAAGAGACCCATTACTCATAAACTCATAAACCAAAGCTCGTTTAGAACCTTCGAAGCAGAACCCAAGAAGAGAAACGATGTTAACATGGCAAGTTTTGGTGATGCTTGCAACTTCATTGATGAATTCCTCACCATCATCTTTCAATTCAGTTAGCACCTTCACTGCAACATAACGCCCATCCTTTAATTGTCCTTTGTATACACTGCCGAATCACCCTTGTCCTAATTTATTTCTGAAGGAGTTGGTCGCTTTCTTTATCTCAGAATAACTATACCTCCTGGTTTGAAGGGGTTCATGTCTCTTCAAAAAGGCTTCGAGCCGTTGACGGGTTGAACTTTGCTTCTTCCATCTTTTGTAGTAGAGCGTGCCCATTACTAGCACTAGTGCAGCTGTAACAGCTGGAGAGTTTATTCAAAATTAGAAAGAATGAATTTAGAAGGCTGAGAAATAATGCCATGCAGAGAAATATAGTAAATATTGGATATAATTCAGGCTAATGAAAATAAAGGTGATAAGCAATGATTACTAGCTAGATCTATAAAGCTAAGATACAAGAAAGAGCCTGAACTTGGCAGCTAGGTTGTAAGTTTTGATCTTCAAAGTGAAGTTGTTTATGTCGTGTTCTGTTAGTAATCAAGAGCATTACAGAGCCAGAGCATGTTTTTTTTTTATTATTATTATTATGCCTTAATTACATAAAAAATATCACTTTGCCACTCTATCAAAATATTTTATCTATATGCCCTTCTTTAGAGGTGTACAAAATAACCAAAAAATTGGATCAAACCATGAACCGAACCGAACCGAACCGCCCCATAAAATAACCTGTTTTAAAAATCAGTTCATGAACCGAACCGGTTTTTAAATATCTGGTTCATGAACCGAACCGGTTTTTAGAACCGATATTTAGAACCAGTTTAATAACCGAACCGCTTCCGAACCGAACCATTTTTAAACCAAACCAAATTAATTTTTATAAACTTTATTTTTTCAATTTTTAATTTTTTTTCTTTTCAAAAGAGGGTCGACCCAAACCGGTTCCGAACCGAACCGAACCATTTAAACCAATTCGGTTCGATTTTTCAAAAAATCTGGTTCGATTCGACCCATGCACAACCCTACCCCTGTTTGATTGTTGACCATGCAATATACTCGAATACAGACCCATATACTCCAATATAACAGCAAATACTCGAGTATATAGTATGTACTCGATTAAATATTCAACATTTGAAGTTTTTTGAACATATACTCGAGTATATAGGTCTATACTCGAGTATATTGCGACCAAATTTTCTATGGGAATTTTCAAACGATAACTCTTGAAAAGTTATATAGAATAAAAAAAAGTACTTGATTCGGATACTCGAATCAAAAGTTATGACTTTCCGAAGTTTTATTATAAAATTTTCAAAATTTTGTAATACCAATAGGTTTTGTGTATCCACAAAGCTCCTTATCAAGTTAACCGAGTTAAGTCCAATATTATGAGTATATAACTATAGAAACTTGTTTGATCCGAAAAATATCGTTGAAAAATATTTAACAATAAAACTTTGGAAGACCATATTTTTTTGAATCAAACAAATTTTGTAGATATCACAAAACCCATTGACATTATAAAATTTTGAAAATTTTAGAGCAAAACTTCGGAAGGCCATAACTTTTGACTCGGGAATGTTCCAACCTGTAGCTATAGAAAAATTATGTGTAATAAAAAAAAGCACTTGATTCATACACTCAAGTAAAAAAATATGGTCTTTCAAAATTTTATAGTTAAATTTTTTTTTCCACTAAATTTTTTGGATCAAATAAGTTTCTATAGTCATATACTTATAATATTGGACTTGACTCGAGTAATTTGAGGAAAAGCTTTCTGGGTATTATATTAGCATTATAATGGAAATTTTAGAGTTAAATTTAGAAGGCTATAACTTTTGACTCGAGTGTCCGAAATAGATGTTTTTTTATTCTTTATAACTTTTCGAGAGCTACACGTTAAAAAATTCCCATAGAAATACTCGAGTACATATTCATATACTCGAGTATATTGCATGGAACAACAAATACCCTAGTATATTTAGGTCCTATACTCGAGTAAATGTTCAAAAAAATTCAGATGTTGAATATTTACTCGAGTATTTTGTACTCGAGTATATTATGTGGTCAATGGTCAAACATGAACAAATAGGTGAAATATTTTGATACGAGAGCAAAATGATATTTTTTTAGGGTAAGGTGTGTATCATTTTAAAGGACGTAAAGTTGTGTCATTTTAAGAGAGAGAAAGAGATAGACAAAGGAGGAGAGAGAGTTGGCAAAAAAAAATAAAGGTATGGGTTCCACCTCTTTGTGAATGAGAGTGAAATGATATAAGTTGTGTCATTTAAAAGGATAAACGTTTTTCCATTTTTTTATGTAGTCAAAGGCACAATGATCAAATAACCCATGAGTATAAAATTTCTAAATTTAAGCTGCTTTGTTGAGTGGAGTCCAAGTGTTATGTAAATAACAGATGACTTTGGAGAACAAGATATTCACCACTATGACCAAGCATATTGATGAATTGGCACGGTTCGAGCTTAAAGTTAAGTCAAATTCGCCACTATGACCAAGCGATATTCGCCACTATGACCAAGCATAGTGGTTTCGATTTTAAGTCAAATTCGGACGAAAACTTTTGCTACTCTTGTGGTTGTACTGGCTCAAATTAAAGTTAATTAGTTGAGTAATCGATGTAGAAATCACGAAAAAAGAATACAGTAAATTTTTTAATATACTCCTGGACCATCGTGGTCCTTCCACTCAAAAATTGACACCTATATTATTTATTTATTTATTTCTTTTTTCTCTTCTCTCTCCTCAACTTTTTCTTTCTTTCTTTCATCTCAGTCCCACCCAATACTTCGTGGTCCGGACCACTATAAATTCACTCAGAATACAGGCCACCGCAGTGGCGAAGTCGGGCTCAAATTTGAGCTCGAGCCAAAAAATTATATATGTGTATTTTTTTTTTTTAGTTTTAGTTAGTTCATATCATAATATATTTAAAATTGAGAATGATCCGTTTAATTTTTTTTTCAAATTATACTATATACTCTCGAAAATACATAATGTAACCTAGTGTACTTTCGGGAGTACATAGTGTAGTTTGCGAACAAAAGTTTTGTAAATATAACCCTCTCCATTTAAATTATATTAAATACAAAGCACCTGAGCAGGCAATACCAATAAAATTATAATTTCATTAAATATTTTTTAATTTTTTTAAAGATATTTTTTTTATACAATGTAACATCCCGAGCGCTGACGAGGGGGGGAGTGATCGCCGATGCGAAAGGGCATGGACAAGGAGCGGCTCCTGTCAGGCTTCCAGCGTGGGGTTACATGCACGAATGAATCGAATCAACACCGGAAAGACAGGATTCCAAAGACTGTGCAGGTATGAGACTGCACAGTTTGCGATAGCTTATAAGAATTAATTGGTACTACCTATACTAACAAGAAGCATCTTCTTTTCGGTAGCCCGAAACGGAAGAACTCCACAGTTAAGCGTGCTTGACTTGGAGCAATTCTGGGATGGGTGACCTCCTGAGAAGTTTTCCCAATAAGTGTGCGAGTGAGGAAAAAGCACACTGAAAAGTCTCGTGTTAGTATGTGGGGATAGTCATTGATTCTTGAAGCAATCGGGCGTTACAAGTGGTATCAGAGCAGGCCTCTCTTCCAGTACGGTGTGGTTCGAGGACGAACCAGGCGGAAGCTGGTGGGCATGTAACATCCCGAGCGCTGACGAGGGCTGGGAGTGATCGCCGATGCAAAAGGGCATGGACAAGGAGCGGCTCCTGTCAGGCTTCCAGCGTGGGGTTACATGCACGAATGAATCGAATCAACACCGGAAAGAGAGGTATTCCAAAGACTGTGCAGGTATGAGACTGCACAGTTTGAGATAACTTATAAGAATTAATTGGCACTACCTATACTAAAAAGATGCATCTTCTTTTCGGTAGCCCGAAACGAAAGAACTCCACAGTTAAGCCATGTAACATCCCGAGCACTGACGAGGGCGGGGAGTGATGATGCATCTTCTTTTCGGTAGTCCGAAACGGAAGAACTCCACATTTAAGCGTGCTTGACTTGGAGAAATTCTGGGATGGGTGACCTCCCGGGAAGTTTTCCCAGGAAGTGTGCGAGTGAGGAAAAAGCACACTGAAAAGTCTCGTGTTAGTATGTGGGGATAGTCATTGATTCTTGAAGTGGTCGGGCGTTACATACAACTTACCCAAATCTCTTACCAAAAATATTTTAAGCTTTAGATAGCGCCAAATTATAAAATAAATTGTAGCCCGGGCCAAATTATAATTTTAACCTGGACCAAATTAAACTGAAAATTAAACTGGATCTGCATAAGAAACTGGAAATTAAAGGTTCGCATTTACAAAACAGAGCGTATGTCTCTTATACCTTATTTTAACGGTGGCAGTGGATTAGAGGGGGAGGCGCGACGGCGGCGGTGGAGTGAGGCGGCGAGACGACGGAGGTGGATGGGCGTCCGCGCGACGGCGGCTATGGGCGGCGGTGGCGATGGCGATGAGAGTATGACTGGTAAGAGAGAGAGTATGATCAGAGAGAAAAGGGAGAGAGAGAAGGGGAAGTGAGGGTATATATAATCGTTAGATCAAAAAACTAATTTAACGGTGAGATTGACTGATAGTCACATGGTTGTAACATCACTTGGTTGTAACATCACTTGGTTGTCACAATATCCTATCCCTAATTATATATAGGGAAAAATGTTTATCCTTTTAAATGACACAACTTATATCCTTTCACTCTGACAAAGAGGTGGGACCCACACCTTTATTTTTTTTGTTAATTCTCTTTCCTCCTTTATCTATCTCTTTCTTAAAATGACCCAACTTTACATCTTTTAAAATGACACACACTCTTCCTCTTATATATAATAAATATAAGGCTAAAATATAAGTTACCCCCTTAAACTTTGACCATGTTTTAAATTACCCCCTTGTACTTTTAATTGTTTCAATTAACCCCCTATACTTTATAATTGTTTCAAATCAACAATTCTGTTAAAAATTTTACAAACTCTGTTAAACCTCCTTACATGCCCTAAGCCCCAAATCTCAAAAAAAAAAAATTCTCTCTTCCTCAGCCTTGAAGAGAACAACATATTTTTTGAGTCCCAGTCCATCTAACAGGCCATCAACGGTTTGGTTGGAATGTTGTTCATCACCCTACATGATAACCAACAACAGCACTTGTCACGACAAACAATATAGTTAATTTGATCAGATAACTTAACCGAGGGGAAATGCATCTGCTTCTACTTAACATTGCAAGCATCAAAGATCGGATCATATGACAATAACTATGAAAGCAATTCACACAAGCTTCCGCCTGTTCATAATTTTGATGCCCAGAGACCACATATTCATTCATCAGTAATTTTGTTTGAAGTTTGAATTGTTTAATCGGAAAGCTAGTGAGAAGACACACAAATCAAGTATTTCAATATAGCCGTAAACATTTGAAAGGACGATTGCATTATCTGATCAAATTAACTATATTGTTTGTCACGAAAAGAGAGAATATTTTTTTTTTTTTTTAGATTTGGGGCTTAGGGCATGTGAGGAGGTTTAACAGAGTTTGTAAATTTTTTAAAGAATTGTTGATTTGAAACAATTATAAAGTATAGGGGGTTAATTGAAACAATTAAAAGTACAAGGGGGTAATTTGAAACATGATCAAAGTTCAAGGGGGTAACTTATATTTTGGCCTAAATATAATTTGTTAAAATTTAGTCTGGATCGAGGCTACTCGCATGTGGCTCCGCCACCGGGCCACCGTCGTGGTACCATCTTGCAAAGTAGACAGCTTGAACAAACAATGTACCATCTTCTGGAGCTTTGTAAGACTAAGATGACCCAATTGAGCGTGAATAGTGAGTGGAGAATCTAATACAAAATGAGCATGAGAGGAGCTGGAGAGCCATTGGACTCAAATCCGTCGCCAATTTTCCTCCCCGAATTTCAATCCTGTAAAACAACAGAATTTTGGGTAAAAGAAATGAGACAATCAAGAGAACATATTAAACGGCTAATGGAAAGGAGATTAAAGGGTGAACCAGGGACATAAAGCACATTATCAATAGTAATGGAGGGAAAGAGATGTATTGTTCCAATCCCATGAGACTGAACTTGGGAACCATTAGCCATAGTGACAGCAGACAAATAACCAGAGGTAGAAAGAGATGAAAACAAAGATTTATTACCAAAAATATGAGCAGAGGCACCAGAATCAAGAACCCAATGATCAAATGATGAACCTTGAGTGAAACCATCAACGCTATTACCTGTATGCACAACAGTAGCAGTGGAACCAGGGATCGTGTGCCGAGAAATATCTTGAGGAAGGATAAATGAGCTAGAATCAGCCATGGATCAAGAACAATTCACTGAAACAAAGATGTAGTGAACAGTAATGGAAAGAGGAGAAATGCTTTGAGTGTTTCGGAAGGGCTGCAACGGACTCAAAACCACAAGATAAGGATCGATATGAACACGGAAGGAGAGGGTGATTCTGACGGTGGAAGCCGCGCGTATGTTTCACGTGCGTGAAGGTGCCTTAGTGGGAATTTGGGAGCCAACCTTGGACGGAAATAACCGCCTCATTGTGACGATCACAACTGTGGGTGGCTCGCCGGAAAAAGTGCCTGAAAAGTGATCGGTGGTGGCGGTCAACAGCGGTCAAATGATGGTCCACGGCATTGGCACCTGATGACGGACGGTGGGTCTTGCGGCGTTGGGTAGATCGGCTTCTTCTGAGTTCGTTGATGTACTTTTTGATCAAAACGGTTGCCGGAAAACTTTTCCGGTGGAGGACGGTGGTGGCAGACGGTGGCCGGAAACTGACGACGGTGGCAGTTTCCGAGAAGATTTTTACTTAGTAGACAGTGGGTCTACCGAAAAGATGCGGATCTTATTAGGCTCTAGATACCATGTTGAATATTAGGAACAAGGAGATTCATAAGTAATCCGTGTGTCTCAACTACACAGCGGAGAGTCTATTATATAACTTAAGAGAAAGAAAATACAAAGAGATATTCATGATACGAGACTTCTATACTATTATTCTAAGCTATTATTTATAACAATGTCAAAATGTAAGATTCTAGTGTTGCAGCCTCTGTGCAAATAGTCTAGTCCACGAGCAACACCATTGACAATGTCATACAAAGTTTTGCAATCCAATTGCCGACCAACTAACATGGAGTTTTCTTCATATATGAACTTCTCGAGGGATCCATTAGGCATGAGTTCATAAATTAGAGCTCGTTTTGAACCTTGGAAACAAAACCCCACAAGAGTGACAACGTTAACATGAGATGTCCTGCTAATGCTTGCAATTTCATTGATGAATTCCTCCCCAGTTCCTTCAAGTTTACTTAAAAGCTTGACTGCAACAAGACTCCCATCTTGTAGCTTTCCTTTATATACGCTCCCATATCCTCCCTCTCCTAATTTGACTTTGAAACAATCAGTGACTTTCTTTATCTCAGAGTAACTGTACCTTCTTAATTGAAGAGAACCATGTTGCTTTAGAAAGCGCTCAATTGTCATATCATCGGTATGACAATTTTTATTCCAAAAGCAACGAGATGTTAGGTTGAAAGGCTTTCTTCTGAAGCAGTAAACCAAGAGCAACAGCAGCGGATGAAGCAGCTAACAAAGTTAACGACAAATTTAGAAGGATGAATTATACATGGGGTATTATCTCTATTCTTTTGAAAGTTCGAGACTGATCTTTTTGTTAATATTGTGTTTAGCATTAATGAAAATTAAAATTAATTTGGTTCGAATCCATTTAACTTTAAAATTAATTTGTATGTTTAAAAATTACTATAAAAATATAATTTGAATCAAGTTGCAGTTTTCATGTTCAGAAGTTCAAATACACAAAAAAATAAACTGACTCGATATTTTCATAATTTTTTTTTTCTTGTTTACCTAAGATATAAAATTAATAAATAAGTTGATTTTACTTTATTTTGGATCTTCATAATATGGTAAAATTATTCATTTATAATTCCTTTTTTTTGTGGGTATTGATTTATATAATTCAATTAAATCTAATCAAGCTGAGTTGATTTGATTTAATTTAATTATATGAATGAATCTGTTTGATTAGATTTACGCAGATTTTTATGTCAATGTAGCTAGAAGTAAAATCATTTTAAATTAAATCAACAATGAATTTATAATTTTAAATCTAATCAACAATTCTGTTAAAAGTGCTCTATAAGTGGCAGCAGACCAACTAATAATCAACTATCGTTTGAAGATCTTAGAATTGTTAGAAGTATTCATTATACAACCCAGTAAGTCCCTAATCAATTTACAAACTCAAAAGAAAAATAATATTGCTGTAATAAATGCAATATATTGCAACAAAACTACATCCTAGTATTCTCACATACTACAGTGTCTCACATGACAAATGGACTGGAGAGGTTGAAGGAGAGGACAGAAAAGGTTTGGGCGGTACTTGCAACAACTCAATACTACCTTCTAGCATTTCTATCACTTTACTTATGGCTGGTCGAGTTGAAGGGTCGGTTTCGATGCACCATAAGCCCACTATTGTCATCTTTCTCATCTTTTCGTCATCACTTTCATTTCTTATGTTCCGAAGACCAAGCTCCTGATTTGATTCAAGACGATTGTAAATCCAATGAGGAAAATATATTTCACTGGAACGGTCAACTTGATCATTAATATTTTTTCTCCTCCCAACCATTTCTAAGACCATCATTCCATAACTGTAAACATCTGACTTATGTGATACTGCACCAAAATTCCTAGAAAATACCTCTGGGTCAATATACCCTGCAGTTCCTCTTACACCAAATATGGATACTATACTTTCTTCTCTTGTGCAAATTTTTGCAAGTCCAAAATCTGAAATCTTGGGGCTGAAATTCTCATCCAAGAGAATGTTATGAGGCTTTATGTCAAAATGCAAGATTCTAGTGTTGCAACCTCTATGCAGGTACTCTAACCCACGAGCAACCCCAATTGCAATATCATACAATGTTTTGCAATCCAATTGGCGAGCAACCTGTAACGGATTTTTGTCTTCATATATGAACTTCTCAAGAGATCCATTAGGCATAAATTCGTATATTAGAGCCCTTTCGGAACCGTCCAAACAGAATCCAAGAAGAGTAACAATGTTAACATGTGAAGTCTTACTAATACTTGCAACTTCATTGATGAATTCTTCTCCGTTACCTTTTGATTTGCTTAAAATCTTGACGGCAACAACACGTCCATCATGTAACTTCCCTTTGTATACACATCCGTATCCTCCTTGGCCTAATTTGTTTCTGAAAGAGTTGGTAATTTTCTTGACCTCTGAATAACTGTACCTGGCGGTAGGAAGGGGTCCATGTTCCTTCAAAAACTCCTCAATAATCTTATGGGTTGGATTGGCCTTCCAAAACAAAAGATATGGGGGAGAGAAGATCTTTGTCCTAAAGCAGCAAGCCGAGACCATCAGCACTGCAACTCCAGCAGTCACCAAGGACACTGCAGAATTTATTTAATATATTTAGCGTCAAGTAAGAAAGTAAGGAACTGTATATATGAACAAAAGTCTCAAAACATGCTCGTAGGCTATCCTTTCAGTTGATTTAACTGGACTAAATTTTGGCTGTGTACTACGCAAACAATGTAACATATAAAATCTTCACAGTACATATGGGGTCTTAACAAAAATGATAAAATTGAATTGGGTATGCTTATAGTGCTCTACCTGTTGCCACTACCGGCATCTTCTTTATGATATTCTCTGCAAAACAGAACAAAGAAAAAGAGAGAAAATCAAAGAAAATGATTTAAACTTTTTAAATTTATATTAAACATTTGCTAACGCAACCCTTTGTAGTTATTTTTTATAATTTAAGAATTATACCGTAACTGTTGGCACAAAAAAATCTCCCTCCGTTGTCGAGTTGACACTGCCCTCTCTGTAAATGGTGACAATTGGCACATTCATCTGTTAATTTTACTTCAACGTTGATATCTGCGTTTACGAATGTAAATGGGTCATAAGAGTCGGGCACGTCTTTAATTGGAAGCTGGACCTTTGCACATGCTGTCAAAGCATAATTAGCAGTGATTTCTGGCCCGTAGTAAAGATCGTAGTCATGGCACTTTGTATAATTAAACATATATATTGGGGGCCTGACATGGAGGGTTTGGTTGCACCTGAACAGGGTTGCTTTAGTTCCGATACGAAAAGCACCAAAATGGAAGGTGGGAGGAAGCGTACAGTTGTACGTGAAAGCTTCACAATTTCTGGATTGCAGAAGTTGATACAGATACTTGTCTCTAACTTGAAAATTTGTAACAGTAGGACTACGAGGAACCTGTTCAACAACGCGTATAACTTCAAACCATTTCCCTTGATTGACTAATTGGATCTCTTTTGGCTTCATTGGATGATCATCACAATTGTGTATGGCCAATAAGCCACAGTCTTGGCGTTCTATTTTAGTGAAAGGGAAGCTGATATTGCCAACATATCCACATTGAAATGAAGGAGGGCACTCTCCTTTGTAGCCATTCCCATCTCCAGCCGCCAAGGGAAGTAGCATTATAAGTTGACAAAACAAAACGAAGAGAAATTCATAAACTGGAGCCATATCCTTCCTGAATCACCCAGTATGTTAAGGAGCTAATAATCCCTTGTTATTTTGCACATTCTTCCCAATACAGTGCCTATACGAGGCTACTTAATACCCCAGTTGACTTGGACAATGACAATGGAAGACTTTTTGGTGCCTTGCTAAATCATGTACAACAAAAATAGATTGCAGAACCTTGGGATACAGCACCCCAAAAGCTAGCTCAAAGGGTGGGAGTGCTCAAGGCCTTATAAAGGCCACTCCACATACAACCAATGTGGGACTATATATCTCAACACGCCCCCTCACACGAGAGGCCATTGGGCTTGAAGAGTGAACAATGCAACAGGCCCAGCCTACCTATGCTAAGAAATGCCACAAGAGAAAGTGGGGGACGGCAAGGTTCTGATACCATGTTAAGAACCTTGAGGTCACCACCCCAAAAGCTAGCTCAAAGGGTGGGAGACCTACCTGTGCTAAGAAATGCCACAAGAGAAAGTGGGGGGCGGCGAGGTTCTGATACCATGTTAAGAACCTTGAGATCACCACCCCAAAAGCTAGCTCAAAGGGTGGGAGTGCCCAAGAACTTATAAAGTCCACATTAGTTGCACATACAACCAATGTGAGACTATATATCTCAACACGCCCCCTCACACGAGAGCCCATTGAGCTTGAAGAGTGGACAATGCAACAGGCCCGACCTACCTGTGCTAAGAAATGCCACAAGAGAAAGTGGGGGGCGGCGAGGTTCTGATACCATGTTAAGAACCTTGAGATCACCACCCCAAAAGCTAGCTCAAAGGGTGGGAGTGCCCAAGACCTTATAAACTCCACGTTAGTTGCACATACAACCAATGTGAGACTATATATCTCAACAGTAACTATTAAGAAATCTTGTGTGTTTGATAAAGTTCTCAATAAAGGAAACGAAAATGAAAACAAGACAAGTACAGGAAACCAAAATTAATAAATAAGATAGATACAAACAACTGAATAAAGGTTCTCCTACAGTCTTTTCTACTCGAATGCAATGTCCATTATACATTAATTTGTGGATAATTTTACTTGGTAGATATCATTCAATTATAATCTTCTTCTATTTCATCTGCGGGCAGAGGCCAAATGACCTGAAAATCCAGTCCTGTAATCACTGCTGACTTGCAAATAGCCAAACAGACTTCGCAAAGTTGAAAGTTCAAATAATAGTGGTGAAGTTATTGCGGTTAGAAAAGCATCAAATCAGTATTATATAAATTGAAAGACTCCTATATTCATTGGCTTTTGGATTTGGACGTGACATCAAATCCATAAACTCAATAATGTATCCCTTATTTTGGGGTTCTCATGCCACTCAACACACAAACCAGCAACAACAAAATTATCCCGTGCAAGTAAAACCTCTTAAAATTTCACCCTTATAGCCTCTAGCTAAATGGGACCTAAACCAAAAGATTTTACTAGTTAGCAACCGAGGAGTGGGATAATTAAACTACACAGTAATATCTTGTCTATGGGTTATTAAAGTTTTCATTTGAATTTCTCTCTGGGATACCCCAGCCCCTGCATCCTTTATCTCTTCCGAAAGTACTGGGGATAATCTTGAAAGTAAATAAACTTTATGGCAAGATGCTCACAGATTTAGTAGAATAACAGTTATTTAGTAAATGATATGAAGCAATAAAATGCTCTTTGTAATTTATTTATTTTGGTAAGGTAACACTACTTACTCGGGCAATTTCATGAGTACTCATTAATTGGAACTGGGATGTGCAGCCTATTACACACACTTGATTTAGAGCTGCTCTACATTCTAGAAGAAGAATTTTTTTTACAACTTTGAGTACCACCATACTGATCTTATATTTACTAATCAGGACCACCTATCTCGTAACCAAGTACAAATACAAATGAACGGGCAACAAATATGGGAATCTAGTTACAACTTACAATGAAGCTAGGTATAAGATAAGGACTTCCTTGTCTACCATTGGTTTTGACAATTCTTGCAGCACTTATTATGTTGACTAATGTGTCTTGTATTAAATCTAAAGCAGGAGTGAGACATGGAAATAGTGTTTTACTTATTTTAACTTCTAATTATTGTTGCTTTTTCCACACCGCATTACACGCATGTGACAGACTTATTCACTAGATTTGTTAAAAATCATAATACTCGTCACGATCCAGCCTTACCGGAAATAAGACGTTCCAGTTATCTGAGATAATACAATATTAGAAGTTGTTGGCAGTAATTGCTCGGAATGCGCTCTATGTACGTGAAAAATACTTCCACTTGAAAGTGTTTGGTCCTAGGTAGACCATGAGTATTATTGTATAGGTATATGCTCAGAGATACTTATGAAAAAGATATCTAATTGGCTCAAGGCCAATATACCAATCACTGTGCATAAGCAATAGGTTTATAAACTAGTCTGTAACGCATTTTCTACCCAAGATTTATTACGCGACAATGTTTTTGTATTTTCCAAATTTCTACCCTTCCAATATTTTGAGCAGTTAACCCTAAACCCACAATTAAATATGCACAGAATTTGTTTTTTAAATTCTATATACAATACAGAATGGAATTAGATCAAATTATAAGAGAAATGTATGATTTATTCTAATAAAATAGAATAAGACAAAAGCATCGATTTAATTTAATCCTGCGAGATGCGTTACAATTTACCAGAAAATGATTTATTTTCAATTATAGATTTTTAAATCAAGTTTTACATAATTTACCAAAAAAGACTGTAAAAGAAAAATTTAAATCGTTTAATAGTCCCATCATTTTCCTTTCTTTTACAGTTTTTCCGTTCCATAGATAACTTAGCTCATGGCTACTACTTTAAACATGATTATTTCGAGCTGAAATCTCATAGACCTGAGATTCAGTTCAGAGATAACGAGTCAAAAGAAGGGAAATAACACGTAAATTTAATCAGAAACAAGTTAAGTTACAATAAAATGGAAAATTGAGAAATATGATTGTTGCTCGTGAGGAGTCTCAAGTGAGTGATACAGAATAGAGGAGAAGTTGTTGTCACTTAACTATTGCTAAAACTATACAACTGAAATGTAAAAATTACAAAACAAACTAAGTGATCTCTTCTTAAGTAATTCGATAATTTCTTCATTCTGGAACGTCCTATTTATAGGCAGAAGAGTGGGTGGCAAAGCTTGTAATCTTCCTTGAGTTGTTTTCTTGACTGCATGAAAGGGGCGGTGTGAACAGTGCTCAGAGGGGCGCAAGTGGCTGGACGGGACAGTTATTGTTGAGATTTGCCTTTCCTTCTGCTTTCCCTCATGCCTTGATTTCCTCTTAGCCAATGAGAACTCTTTATTCCCTGTCGTGCACGTTTCTTCTTGCTTGATTGTTGTACCATTTATGCTTTATGGAAAAAAAATTTCAACGTTTCCCGAAAAGTGGTCAGAGAAATTGAGTTAGTGGAACAAGTGTATTTAATGTTCGCAATCCGTTCTCCTTTTTTCTATATTTTTCAAAGGATTACATTATCATCTGTTTCCCACTGTGTTTTTGTCGTAAAGATATGAAACATGTGGTTTTAGTGAGAAAGTTGTTCATCAGATGAGGGAACAGATGGTATTTTGCCATCAAAATAGGCTTAGATGGTAACGAATTTTCGTCCCATCAGTAAATACCGGAAATCAAATACTAAATTAATAAATTAAAACCTCAAAAAATCTCAATGGGCCAAAGAGCCCAAACACTTAACATATATATATATATATGGGTTTAAGTTTACTTATGTTGTAGGATTGTAGGAGAGAAAAAAAGTAGAGAGAAGTTAAATGTGGGTCCCATATTTTATATTAAAAAAGAAAAGAAAAATTAATTGGCACGGAAAATGATTTACTCTCATGTAGCATGAGAGTATTATTTCCCTATATATATATATATATATATATATATATATATATATATATATAGTTTGAATCATTTTAACAAATGAATGGTCTTTTGGTATTACTACATTTAACTTCAACTATAAAATATTTGTTATAATATTAAACGTACTAACTCAAATATTTTTGAACTCTTCATCTAATATATATGGTACAACTATAGAAAAAATAGATACATAGTAATCTAGACGTAAGTATAAGAACCTTTTTTTGTCTGGATAAATACGAAAGCCTATTATATGGTGATAGAAAATTTTGATAGTTAGAGGTGGCAAAATGGGCTCAACCTGGAGGGCTGGCCCACCCCGCCCGCAAACTTGTTTTCCCCCCTTATATCTACCGTCTAACAAATCCGTCTTTGTATGGTTAAGATAATTAGATTTACTGCGGTAAATATTTCAGAAACAAACATCTAAATAAAATGAACAATTATGTTATGATAAATAAAAATGCCTCTAAATAAAATAAACAATCAACACAACATTTAATTTTTTTTTTCTTCATGTATATTAATTGATTTCATTTTGTAGCAAATTTTGTGTATGGTTGAACAATAAGACTGGATTATATTGAATAATAATGCAAAAGAGAAGGTTTATTGGTGGTTATATTTGAAGAATGAATTATTGAGTACATAACTATATTTGTTTTGCATAACAATCAATGCCTCTGAGTTACAGATTTGTTTGTGGTTGATATTCACAAGTTCTGTGTGAATACTGTAGCCTTTTAAAGTTCAAAAATAGCACAAAATAGCCAGATAATCCTTTTCTATTTCACATAATTCTCAAATAACAGGTTTGCTTTTTTATTTTTTGTTCCTTCATGTTTATACCTCTATCATAGTACTGTTCAGAGCTTGATAACAAGATGAAGATGTTGATTTACCGATGCGATGATTAACCAACGACGGCGACAACGATTTCGTTCTTTTCCCCTGGGCATCACACGGGTAATTCACTAGTAATATATATAAGTGGGATCAATGATTACAAAATAGCATAAGATTTCATTTACTCCTCCTAATTTATAAATATATAAATTTATTAAAAAATGTTTGAATAGTCAATAAGATATTTATATAGGGTTTTATAAAAGTTATCTTGTAGGAAAAGTGAATGTGTCATATTATAGAGATTTATTTTTCATGCCTTAGTTTTTTTTTTTGCTTCAAAAAATGCAGGTCCCACAAAATGTTATATGTGTAGGAAACTTTTTTTTCATCATGTTGCATGATGAATGCAAACCCCATTTATATATTATATAATTTCTTAAACTATTTGTTTAACATTTTTAAAAAAAAAATTCTGTCACTTCTTATATTTCTATTGATTTTTAATTAATTATTCTATTATTCATTAAAATCATACATATGACAAAATAGTTGATAGAATTATGTCATTCTCTCATTCCACTAATTAAAATCTTAATAAATCTTTACTTGTGTTACTTTTACATTCTTACAACGTTATTAATTTTCAATTATCTTTCCATTTTGAATCAATTATGGAAAATATATATTTATTAAACACTAACAATTCTTCTTTCATGGCATTCAGTTTAACCAGTATTGAATTTGAGTTTTAGGTAAGCTAAGAGTAATAAAAACTTGAAAAGGAGAAATTTATTGTCTTAATAATCTTGTATAACTCGAATCTAGGTTAATTTATACAGATGATTTATTTCAAAATTAAAAAAATCAATTTTTTTAATAATATTCTCTCTTGAATTATTCATTTCTTATTTGCTTTGACTTTGATTCTAATGATTTCGACATGATTTTGATGATATTTGTTATATTGGGAAGAGCGATATGAGATGAGATGAAAGAAGTGTGAAGGAGAAAATGACGGAAACTTGGATCCGAACCGCAGTTGAAGCCATACACTCCTCTCCATTTCAAGCCGTTCTCTATCTCGCCGGTGGAGCTTCTCAGGTTTTCTCTCTCTCTCTCTCTCTCTCTCTCTCTCTCTCTCTCTCTCTGTGTTTTTGTGTGTGTGTGTGTGTGTGTGTGTGTGTGTGTGTGTTTGGATGCACAATGTTGAATCAGTAGTAATTGGATATGATCAGGTTTTGGGTTTGTTGCTATCTGTTCCTGGTGCTTCAAATACTGTGCTTGAAGCTGTGGTTCCTTACTCTAGGATGTCCATGATCCAATTACTTGGCAAGGTCCCCTTTTTCTTTTTCTTTTTAATTTCAATTATTCACTTCTAAACAAACCCACTTCAGTGTTTCTTGGGTTTTTTTTTTTTTTTTTTTAATTTTTTCTCATTTATTTTATTCCTGCAGATTCCACCCCAGTTTTGTAGCCAACAGACTGCTGAAGATATGGCCTTATTGGCTTATAATCGTGCTCTTAAGCTATCCACGCCAGGTTGGCTAAACCAAATGAAAATCATGCATTTGGGGTTCCGACCCATTAATGACATACACGTTTTCACTCATTTTTGTCTTTGATTTTGCGTAGTAATATGTGAAAATTTCAGTGTTGTGCAAAAATTGGATGCTTTGGCTTGCTTAGAAATGTTTTTACAATTTGAATGAGTTGCAACCGCTGTGTGTGTGTTGTGCAAAATGCAGAAACATGAACTAATTTGGTCCGCCTTCACCTGTTGATTAGGATCCCCAGTTGTTGGTGTGGGCTTTACTGGCTCTTTGGCTAGCAGTCGACCAAAACATGGGGAACACAGGTATTATCTATATTTACTTTATCTTCGAAAGTGGTTAATGAACCTCACTGTATTATTTTTCAGCCTATTCATTAACTTTTCAATGATTTTCTGATTTGATTAAGTTCTGAAAAGGTTACCATATGCCTGAACATCGCATTACTGCATTAGTGTATGCTAGTTTCCATCTTGCAGGCTTACTGCCATTGGGTGGATTCCCAATTCTGTTTGACCACGTTGTACCCCGATCCTGGCACCACCTCGTGAAACTACCCTAGGGATTGCAATAGGTGAATTTTACTTGTGATGAGAGCAGGGACGGGTCAAACTATGAAGTGCTTGGGTTTGTGGATCAAATTTTGCTAGAAAGCACTTAGAAGTTGGGTGGGATTTGACGGAAATAGAAAACAATCTGCTGAAACCTTTTGGACAGCAATCAAATATTAAATCTTGTGTTTGAGAATCTGAGAGGAATGTACATGTTCAAGAACGAGACAATATCCACTACAACTGAAAGTAGTTAATAAAGCACGAACTTGTTTTGACATGATATATGAAAAAGGATTGAAAGCTTGTCATCTACCATGTGAGCTTATTATTAGAGCACATATAATTTTACTCGATATTCTCTTGCTATTATTGGCCCATGACTTCCTATGAAGATATATTTTTCCTAAATGCAGCAAGTTGTTTTAGTCATTGGTATATATGAAGATTCTACAAGGCATTGACTTAAAACAAGCTAAGCTTAACTAAAGAGAAGTGCATTACTGCTGCTTTTCAAGTTAACTCTGGATTTATTCTGTATAATTTGATTGCATGACTCTCTGGATGTTGTTAATTTGTCACATTTTCTTTAAAAAGGCTCTTTTCAGATTGTCCAGTTGTGCTTCCCATCTCCCTCTAAATGTAATTTTTGGGGAAGACTAATCCCATCTAAATTTTTTTCTTTTATGTTCATTTGTAGATTTTATATGTCAACAAGGACAGCTGACCGACTTTGGATATCACAAGTGACCTTGACTAAGGTGCGGTTATCCTTTTTTTTGTTCTATATGTTATTCTGAACTTGATGCTAAACATGTGATAATCATTATGTTATATTATTTATGTGAATATTTATATTTATTTACTTTGCAAACTATTCTAATTTAGGGGCTTCGTACTCGAGAAGAAGAGGATAGGGTTTCTAGTCATCTTTTGCTCAAGGTTTGTGGCAGGTGTGAAGAAAAGTTGTGAATATTCTTGTTTTGCTATTTATTTGCACTTATGAGTTATTTTCTTCTTCTTCTTTTTTCCTTTTAAGATTATGTATAAGAACCTTGGAGATCACGTAAAATAGAACCAGAATATTTGGAAGCTAAATTTTAGTTTATTCCTCACTTCAGGTTTGTTTTAAAATATTACTTTGTTTTGGCTTTCTTTTTGCTCCCTTCTCTGTTCTGGTTCTAGGCAATTGCAAATGTATGCAAAGTTCCAGCAACAGCTGTTTTGGAGTTGAGTGAATCAGATGTATCTGATGAATGTGAAAAGCAATTCAATGAAGATCAAGAGTTAGAACAACTTATAAATGGTCAAATATGCTTTAAAATGTATCCATTTTCCAGTGGTATGGTTAAACCTTTGAGCAGAAGCAATATTAATACAAATTAAATTCTACTTTCTTATTTGATAATTTTAGTCTTTTGGTTGCAGAGATACCGGCAGAAAGGAAAATAATACTCTCCGGTTCTTTCAATCCATTACATGATGGGCATCTCAAGCTCATGGAAGTTGCTACTGGGTACTAAACTCATTTTATTCATTAATAAATGCTCAATTTTTTTCATAGGTTGTTTATTTAATGTACTACTCGTAAAATATGAATTGCTTACTTTATTTTTTCTGGTTTTATTTTAAAATGCTTGTTATAAATGTGCCTTTCAAGTGGAACTGTTCTATATTGCTTTTAGAAGTTAGTATAAAATATTTGATTATATTGATATTTGCTGACAATTTTAATTTTATTTATCGTAAGTAGCTACTTTGGGGTAAAGTAATAATTTAATTTTGATGTTGAAAATAAAGTACTCTATTTAGAAGTTACGCTATAATAGTCAAATATCATATATTTCGGTAAGAGTTTAAAGTTTACGTTATACTATAGAAATTAACAATATCTTTTGTATCAAATCTATTTTGAAAATCTAATCAGGATCAGCTATCTATATGTATGATGATTTATTTAAATTTCATTTCATTTATTGGTAATTTTAATTCAACATCTCACTTATTAAGAACACATCTATGCAGCATTTGTGGTGATGGGTATCCATGCTTTGAACTAACTGCAGTCAATGCAGACAAACCTCCATTATCAGTGCCTCAGATCAAAGATCGCATCAAGCAATTTGAAAAAGTTGGTGAGGTTCTTTCTAGCTCTCCCAGATTCATATTAAAAATGCATTGGTCCTAATTAATAACTGCATATGGTTCTTAAATATCATTTCATCTGCTAATTTATGAAGGGGACTCTGCTTCCATTTTTATATCCGGCAATGGGTTTTTGCCTTTCTGATGTACTACTATACATTATATAACTGGTAGTATATTTGCATGATGAATACTGAATGGGATTCTCATGTTTTAAGTTTGAAAATTTAGGATGAGCTCGTCTGACAATATGATACTGAGAACTTAACACTGTTTTTGAGTACTTAATTTGTTATTGCTTAATGCACCACCTAAAGTTGTAAATGACTTCTCCACTTCAATGGCAGGAAAGACAGTAATTATATCCAATCAGCCTTATTTTTATAAGAAGGCTGAACTTTTTCCAGGCAGTACTTTCGTTATTGGCGCTGACACAGCAGTGAGGCTTATTAATGTATGAAATTACTTACTGCTTGGATCAATTTTACATGAATTTCACCATTTCATGTCCTGCACTTTTTAATACTTGATTGTTCCATTAGTTATGCTATCTTGGGATGTAGCCTCAGTTTGTAAGGCAGCTCAGTCCCTGGTTTCTGCATGACCATGTCAATATCACACATGTTTTTTATTTTATTTTTGGACATTGCTTTTGCTGCTGTGGGAAAGCGCATTATTTATTCATTTCAGCGTTCTTTCAGAAAACAAAATTGCTTGTGTTCTTTTCTTATCATTGAAGGGGTTAGAGCAACCTGACTGTGTCTTATGTGTCCTTATCCCTTTGTATATCAATCTTCAGTCTCATGGTTTATGTTGTGACATTCCTAAAATGGACTGATGTTTGTGAAACTAAATTGTGTATTTTGTTTAAGCATGTTCTCAACTTATGTAGTTTATGCCTGTTACCCTGAAATTGCTATTTGTCCTAAAGATAAGTTGAGGTTTTCGGTGGATTAGTTGAGGTGATGGAAGATTGGTTCAGAATAATGAGTTTGTGTAATATAAATTATGTTTCAAGTGCAAATTGATGTAGCGTATTGCATTCTTCTATTTTGAGATATTATGCGATTTAATCCATGATGAAATGATGGAAAGTGGATCAATGAAACCAAAGAGTTAAAAAAATGCCATTGGTGGTGGTGTGCGTGGCAAAGATTTAGCAGAGGTTATAGTCCTAGATTGAGTTAATTGGGATAAGGGAATATTTTGGACAGATTGACTTATTCAAAATAAGGACCCATGTACCAGATTGGTTGCTTTAACTAGTATACTAGGTAGCAACTTGAATTTTTTTTCCCTTTTATGTAGAGAACAGAAACTTTTTAAGTATTGTTAATATCCTCTTGGAAACAGTATAACGTCAGTCAGTAAGCATAATTATGTTTATATAAATCCAAAGAGTAAAAAAGAAATAGGAAGAAAGAGCAGGAAACGTCTCATTCTTTGTTCCCCGTTTCTGTTGCTTATTGTGAGGGTCCTAAAATTCTCAGTTTGTAGTTTGTACTTCGTTTTTAGTGTTGATTAAGTGTGATTTTTCGTTGCTTCAATGGATTTTATTAGCTAATCTCTTCAAGTTCTTCATGTCACTCTTGCAGCCTAAATACTATGATGGGGACTACGACAAGATGCTGAAGATACTTATTGGTTGTAAACAAACCGGATGCACTTTCCTTGTGGGTGGTCGGAATGTAGATGGTGCTTTCAAGGTAGTACTGCATAAAAAAAGAGCATCTCTAATTTTGGCAATTCTTATTTTTCAAGTTCAATGTTAGTAAGGCTATTGTGTGATGCTACAGGTTCTTGACGATCTTGATGTTCCAGAGGAATTAAAAGACATGTTCATCTCCATTCCAGCTGAACAGTTTCGCATGGATATATCCTCCTCTGAAATAAGAAAAAGAAGTGGGCTGTAAATATTTTTATGGCTAATATATAGTCCAGGATGAAATCACTTCCTTCCGATTGTGAGGTGAAGTTTTCTGATCCAAGGTTGTGTGTGCATTAAACAATCTTTGTCGTATTTTACTATATAATAATAATAATAATAAATTAAGGGTCAAGATCTCTGAAGTTTTTGAAAGAACTGCAGAGCATCTTGATCCATACAAGGAGGAGCCCTGTATGTGTCAAACATGTATCGAATACTCGTAAGACGCGTCTTAATGGGATATGTGTCTGTATGTAGTAATTCTTTTGTATGTGTAAAAGACAATCATGTCTCTGTGAACGCTTGATGTCTTTAACTCTTTATCTTTTATACGGATAAAAACTGAATGTGTGTTAAAAGAGTTATAATTTACTCGTCCATCTCTCACTCTCACTCTCACTCTCACTAGTCTCATTAATCACCATCTGTGTTTATCTTCTATTTTTACCTCGAATCTGTGTGGTTCAATAATTGATTCATTAATATTGGTGCCCCCACTAAGGAAGGGTGCAAAGACCGGTTTCAGTGTAATACACAAACGAGTTTGTTCTATTGTAATTTCTTCCTTATTGAACTACCTAACATAATGTGCATTCTAGTTAGGAGATAGTACTGTTCAAGTGAGGTCTGACTCTTAACAATCAAAAGAAATAAAATAGCCGAGATTCGAGGAAACTTAGCTAAGTTAATAATGTGGCTGGGACATTAATCAGCTCAATACAACCTGAATAGCACCTTTTTTTTTACATAAAGGTTATAGAAATAAGACAAACGTCATAAGGTTTCAAACATTGAAACACACAAGGTTGGTTTTTTACACAAAAATGAAACAAACCCAGAAAATAATGAGGCTGTGATTTCGCCCAAGAAACTGAAAAGATGGGGACAAGGAAAGGGAAAGAAAATTTGAGGTTGAGAAGACAAGATGCGAAAAATGTTTTGTTTTGTTTTGTGTACCGTTTTGCAAAATCCCAACTTGTGAGAAGAAAAACTCAACCTTAGCAAGTTACCGGTTAAGCAGATACCAAGTCAATGATCACCTAAAACGGCACCCATTATCATATAGAAGAAAAATACATTTTTAATCAAAGGTAACAAACAAGAAGACTTCGCCTTGTATAATCAGGGCACCTTATACTATTTTGTCTACAACGAAAAAAAACAAAGATGCATGCATGTGTATGGATACTCCGTAGTTAGCTAGCTAGCTTCACAGCTGTGCCTCTTTCGATGGAGATGACTATGATGATGATGTGACAAGGGAAAAGACAAAGGTCAGCCACCACAGCCTCCGCCGCAGCCTGCGCCGCAGCCAGCGGTGCAGGCAGAGCCATGCCCATAGTTGTTGACTGTAGAGGCTTTGGTTGAGTTTTTGGATACTCCATCTGCACAGAAGAAGATGATAGCTGCAAAAAGTGAGAGGGTAACTAGTGCTGCGCATAACACAAAAACGAGACTTCCCAGCTCTTCTTCACTGTTGCTGCTACCAATACCTTGATATCTTGTCAATCTCATCTCTTTCCATTGCCTTGCCATCTATGCTGAACAAGGCTCCTCTGATTCTATGAATGAGAAAAAGTGCTGTTACGAATAGTTCCTGTCCTTTGGGGGCCACGGAAAGGTAATGGGAACAATCTCTGAACTCAGATATTGGCACAAAGGAAAAAACAACGTGAATCGTTCTAAAAACTTTATCCAGTTGACCAAGCTAACTTATTTGAATATTATTGTCCTCACCTTTTTCAGAGTGGGGAATTCTAAATTATGTGTTTGCCAATCATGTGCACCTTTGGTTGGCGGCTGCACGAGTCTAAATTGTGAATGAAGGAACTTCGTCCAAATCTTATCCCAAAGCTATGTAGCACCGATACGACACGCGACACGTGACACGACACGTGACACGACACTCCGACACGTCAATTTTAAAAAATTATGGATTTCGACACGTTGGGACACGTTTTAATATTAAATAATATTTTTAATTTATATAGTGTATATTTCATTTAATATTTAATAATTTAACAAAAAAATGAAACTAAATTAATAATACTCATCAACACGTTATAAAGATGGAAGCTTTAATAAAAAAATAAGAACTGGGATGAGAGAGAGATATAATATCAGATAGAGAGATCAAATCATATTAAAGAGAGATACAACAAGAGCGTGATGGGAATTGACAACAATGATGCTGAGATGATCTCTTATCTACTTAAGGGGAAAAAAGACAAAAAGATAAAATTGATATGATCAGGTGGAAGCTTTATTAATATATTTTAACTTTTAAAAAAAAAATTTAAAAAAAAAAATTACGAAAATGTCATTTGACCGTGTCGGACACGGTCAAATTCGCGTGTCGGAATAGTCAACGTGTAGGAAAAAGTCAACCGCGTGTCCGACACCGTGTCGGAGCGTGTCGGACCCGACTCTTCCTGTTTTTACAAGTGTCCGTGCTTCCTTGTCCCAAAGTGACAAATACGGAAGTGACCCAGAGAATATATCTTTTTGGCTAAAATATCATAGGTTTCACATTCATTCAATGCAACTTGTGATGCAAGCTAACTCTTATTTTCACATTCATTCATTTTGGCACTTTTTCCTTTATATATATTTCTATAAGAAATATAGAATTTATCCCGGTTCACAAGCTGCGTCTAGCAATATTCACTATATTTTTCTCACTGTCGTTACAATACTCACATTCTAATTATAAGGGGAATATAAATAAGGGAAAAACTAATCTTATACTACATATAATAATTTTCTCTCATACACACCCTTCGATAACTGTGCCACCTTTTTATTTTATTTTATTTTTATTTTTCAGGTGGTGGAGCCCACAAATTTGTCTCTATGACATGAAATAACTTATCTCTTTTAACATGAGATTAATAAAACCTTATAAATAAACTTAAAAACCTTAAGCTACAACAATTATTTATGAGTCAAAGTCCAAAATATTAGAAATAAAATAAAATATAATAAAATTGAGGCCACAAATATAATATCATTTATATAATTGAATTACGAGGAAATAAACTCCTTACTACTTGAATCAATGATGATTGATAATATTAAGAATTAGATTTAGAGACGTAGTTGAACAGAAAGAATAATGGTATTTGGTACTTCATAATAAGGTATTTCGATGGTCAAGTTGAAGGTGGGCATTAAGGCATAGTTTTTTTTTTTTTTTTTTTCCTCATCCGGTTCATATAGAGGGTGGCGCTCTCTAAGAACAATTTTCTCTATTCATAGGATCAGAACTCTAAGAGAAATACTCTCCTTACCCCTTGAATTGATAATTGTTGGTTAAGTTTTATCCTGTAATTATAGCAGAGGCGGCTTGTTTGGGGAGCCACCTTATAGAAATCCTTTTTATTTAGGGAATAAGAGATTTTATCTTTAATAACATTTGAGATCCTTTTTGGTTGTGTTCTAGAAGATATGGTGAAGATAAGGTAAATTAGTAAGACTTTTCTACAATGTCAAGAGTTTGAATCTTGAAATTGCCACTTCGAGAAAGACTTTTCTAACTATCACCTTCGGCCCAAAGTTGTGCAAGCAACTGCTTAAAAAAAATTGTGAAACTAATTTAGCAATACTCAGATTCCATGTACTAAACTTGCTAGAGAAGTGATTACTGAGATAATCACATTAATACACAAAACAATGGTCGGAACCAATATTATAGAGACAACAAGTGAACAAACAATTAGATACACCATATATTTATCTACTTGCAAAACAACCTAGATACTCTTGGTAGTTTCAACAATGTTGGGATATCAATTTGCATATTGGATGACCTGGCAAGACTAGGATCTCAATAAATGAAGGCAAATCAGCCAGAAAATCAAATAGATATAAAAATCTAACACAAGATATCTCATTACAGATAAATACATTGTAACCAATCTACAGATCAAAAAAGCTTAATGAGAAGAGTGGGACGAACTTCCAGCAGGCTGCTCAGAAGCATTGGCAAGGCCTTGCAACATTCTCAAAATCTCAGTCGTGTCTTCCAAATAATACTTGGCCTTGCTAGGTTTCTGACCAACAGTGCAAGGAAACACATCAGCAACTGGGGATAGTGAGGCCCTTGCACTCATTATTACCTCAAACATGTCCTCATCCGATCTGTCATCCCCAATGCATAGAACAAAATCTGGAATCACTCCCTTTTGTTTCTTTGTTAAGAGAAGACGTTCTGCTACAATACCCTTACTCACACCCTGCCACAAAAGGAAATAGTCAACCACATAAAATGGAATTCAATGTTGGAAATTGGTTGGATCATTATGTATTTTGAAGTTCCAAGATTAGAATTAACTTCAATGATCCATACAAGTTCTTTAGAAGCAATCTAATCCCAAAATGCGTTTTAAATATTTTCAACAGAATATTTTGGAACAAACAAACAGTAATCACCTATGCTAACATAGGCATATAATAGAGTTGTCTAAACATGATTTTGGGCCAGTTATGAGCATGGAACTACAGCCAAATCACCTTGAAGGTCCAAATTCAAAGATCATTTTTCACTGAACTGGCTACAAGTCACAACTATAAGAAGTATATAAACTTCAACTAGTTTAAAAGAGGAAATACAAATTTTTATTACTGACCTGAGGTTTAACTTCCACAATGTTTGGACCGCTTTTAACAGAAACAGGTTCATTGGTAAGAACACTTTCCAGATGATCAAAAAGCTCCTTAGCCTGACATGAACCAAAATCTCGGTCTGCATACTCATAATTCCAAACAAGAGCACTCTCTTTGGCCTCTATGTTAGAACCATCAGTTGTTTCCATATATAACTGCATAACTGGCTCAGCAATCTGTTTCCAGTCAAAATCAGGCACAGAAACACAAGCTTCCCATTCTGCATTATAACTTGTCCTGGAAAAAAAGGACATACTTCAGTTTGAGTACAGAAGCAAGCTCTGCCAAGGAAAAGTACTTATTTTTCCTCAACGTGAGGGAGAACTGACACCTATATTAACAATAGAAATGTCAAATATTATCCCTCAATCCCACCAAATATGGGACAAAAAGAGCCAAATTTCATCATTCTTAATAAAATAAACAAGTAAAAAGAAAACCACTATTGTACAAAAAAAACTCGTTCATACAGTTCACAGTCACTACAAACTCTGCCTGTCCCTAACACACACAAACACAAGGAAAAAGGACATACCTCACAAAATAACCATGCTCTGCGGCGATTCCCAGTCTTTCACAAGAAGAAAACCATTCATTAAGAGTCTTTCTCTCCTTTCCACTTACAATGAAAACACAATTATTGGTGTCCCTGCACAAGCTGTTTAAGATTCCAACAGCTTCAG